TATGTAGTTTACCAAGAGCAGCTTCTCTGGTAGACTGCCGGCTACATTTTATTTCTACTCCAGGAGTGTCCTTATTGTTGCACTATACAGGGTACCCTGGGGGAAACATCAATCATTTCCACTACCTACAATATCTATGCTAAAGACCCTTTGTCTGACAGGAACAGGAAGAGAGCTAACTGAATTAATGTTTTGTCTTAATAGTGGACCATTTTTCTCTGTTCTTATTCCTTTATCTTTTCAGCTTAAGCAAAGTTTAATATGTAAATACTAAGAATATTTCTGATGGAGTTTTAGTGATTGCCTTTATGGAAATTGAGACTTGAGTAACTTGTTAAAAACCGGAGTCTGCTAAATTAATAGGTACTGATCCAAGACACTTTTGAATAAAGAATGAATCACTACTCTCATAGACTTTTTGCTGAAGCTCTTCACTGCCCTGATATGGGGTGAAAGCTGGGGGTTGACACACAGTCTTTATTTTTCCTTTCATTGCCAGTGGGATGGATTTTTTAAAAAAGGCTAGCCCTGATATGGGGTGAAAGCTGGGGGTTGACACACAGTCTTTATTTTTCCTTTCATTCAGTGGGATGGATTTTTTAAAAAAGGCTATTCAATCTTAATAGAGTAGTGTGTGAGGTCAACTTGGTCCATTTTAAAAGCATTTTTTTGACAACTATTACTTTCAACATCCTTTGGAAATCTACTGTAAGACTTGGACTTCTTGGTTAGAATTTTAATAAAATTTGTAATATTATCTGACAGTAAAGTTATATGTATATATTATGTATCAAAATAGATTATTTAATTTTACTAGCTGATACTGTCTTAATTGAGAAAAATGTTATTTATATTTTGGTTTAAGTTAGTCTAAACCCTTAAAGGTCTTGTTATAGCCATCTTCATTTGTGATTTTCCTGTTTATTTGATTTTATACAATCTAAAAAACCCTATTATTTTCCCCAAGCATTTAATCTAGAATGGAAAAATGATCTGACAGAGGTAGACTTGGTGGATAGATTCAGCTAAACTTGGACATGTCATTTATCTGAGGCTCAGTTCCCTCATCTGTAAAAATGATTTAGAGCAGGAGTCAGTGAAGTTTTTTGTAAAGGAACAGAGAGTAACTATTTAGGCTTTTGCAGGCCATGTGGTCTTTGTGGCAGCTACTCATCTCTGCCACTGTAACCTGCAAAGAGCCATAGACAATATTTAAATAAATGGGTGTGCTCCAATACAACTTTATACGCACAAACAGGTAACTGTCTAGAGCCGGCCTGTGGGCTGTAATTCGCTGACTCTTGATTTAATGCATGAAAAGGGAATAGACAGTTTCTACATCAAACATTTGCTTATTCGTGCTTATTGAGAACTTACTCTGTACCTGTGTTAGATGTTCTGAGGGAAACAAAAATAAGTGTGAGACATAATCTATAATTGCACAAATTCGAGTTTATTTGGGAAGTTTATCTGAGGAGGCAAGATACTTGTTCTCATGATGGAATTAGGTAAGTCAGTGTAAAGTGCTAGTCTGTGATGCAAATTGGGACAACAGTGGGTGAATACCAGAAAAGAAAATACTGTCAATTACAGATATAAAATTACTGAGATTGAAAGTAGGAAGGATCTTCCTCCAAGGAGCCATGGCAGTGTTTTCACAAATTATTTCAGCATGTGTGCTCGGCATTTAGAAGTGTGCTGCATACCACCACATCAAACTCAGTATTGTCCAAGTCATTAAGACGTCAGAACAGAAAACAGAAAAAAATACACCTAGAAAAATCCAATGACGAAAATTTAAGCTTATAAATGAATATTTTATTGCTATGGCATGATCTCAAGTTCAAATATTTAAAAAAAATTCTTGCTTATTCTTTGGTGGTTAGAATATATATCTGAGCTCCATCTTGTATATACAGACTGAGTAGAAGAATTTCATTGTACTATAAATTGTACTGTATAAATTGCATGCAAATGCAATTTCTACATGGCTTCAGAAACTTCTTACTTATCAAGGTCTGAAGTCATTTATATAAGGTTTCTTAAATGAGATGACTACTGAGTCCAGAGTTCTGCAGGAAGCCTAGAAAGAAACAAGGCAGCGTTATGAACTTCTAAAGACAGGGAGGGACCTTAACATTTATAAAGTCATTGCTTTATTAATTTATCCAGTGAATGCCTCAACTAGGCAAAGCACTAGTGAGGCCCTGGAGATACAGTTATAGGAAGGGCACTGTCCTTACCCCGCCAGAGCTTTAAAATAGTAGGAGAGACGGACAAATAAACCAGCAATTAAATTACAGTGTGACAAGTATCAGGGGGAGGGTGAGTGCGGGTCTTACAGGAGTCCAAGCTTCGCTCATTCCTGGTGGGGGCTGAGTCTAGCTCGCAGGGAGTGTTTCCTGAATTAGAGTTAAGTCTGGGGGATGAGTCAAGAGAGCAGAATGAAGAAGGACGAGATGGGTGTGCAGTCACGTGAGAAGGGGACTGAGTGTATGAGCAAAGACCAGGAGATAAGATGGAGTTTGGGGAGTTCTGTGAATAAAACTTAACAAAATTAATATGCCACTCGATTAAACAAAGACATTTCTAGGCCATGTATCCATGCTTAGACTGTGTAAAAACAAAGTAATTTATTTCCTTTTGATTGTAATGGCATTTCCATGTATCTGATTTGTTTGTGCATATGAAAGGGAAATACCAGAGCAATAGTCTTTCTCATCAGAGTCTTGATAACTTGGAACTAAAAAGTTTTACTGAACTTCTGTGACTCAATACAAATCACGCTGCCCCTCAAACCTATTTGCAGACAGTGAAGGGTCTGACAGGGTGCAGGCAGAAAGTTCTGAAGATGCTGTAGCTCTTCCTGATTTCTTGTTACTTAAGAAGAGAGCTAGAAATGAGTATCCATCACATTACTCTAGTGCTCTAAGTGTTTTGGTTGAAGAGGTAAAGTGTTTGACTTGAAAGCATACAAATGTTCATCCACTACTTAGTGTATGAACTTGATTACTCAAGAAATTGAGTAATGGCCTCCAGTTGAACATACTTTTTTTTCTTAAAGCAAAGTCAAGGACATGATTTAAGAAGGTGAGTGAAATTGGACAGTCTGTGAATTTACTAAACACTGCAGGGAGAGAGACAGTGTTCCTTAACATTGTTGCTTGTAGGCAGAGACTTTTGGGTGTGTTATATAAGCAGATTTGATTATCCATTCAGCAGCCACATACTGCCTTTGAATATTATTCCAAGGAGAAAGGACTCCGTGGATCTCACTGCTTCTCTTGTATTGTTATGTTCATAATATTATGAATAAATATTATAAAGACCATATTACGATCTGCTCTTATAGGTGGTCATGAGGCACCGTGGAGGCTCTAGCCTATCTGTACACCCCAGCTATGCTACCTGCCACTTTAGATTCTCTCTCTTAAGGCGTGTATAGAAGATGCTCAACATCACCCTGAGCAGACAGGGCCCAGGCCGGTGCTGGCTTAAAGTTTAGCTAAGACCAGAGGGCATGCTGTCAGGGTGGAGTCTGGTTATGGTTCAGTACTGTGGGGTCCGCAGGGCCAACAAGGATAACCAATGGCCTGACCCACTAGGCCTTAGAAGCGTCAGGGTGAGAGTCCAGCACCCTGGATAGCTCCTTCAACGGCTGCGGAGTGTGAGCAGAGACTGACTTTCTGAAGAACCTCAGACCCGTTCAGCTGGTCTGTTAAAAGGGAAGTTAGTTCTTTTGTTCTTAGGAACTCACCCTTGTTTACCCAAGGTGGATTAGTTTTTAATACTTAGTGTCCCCTTTCCAGTCTCATTCTGTCTTGACATGTGCGCCCCTGTCTAGGAAAGACCAGAGGACGGGGTAGAAGGGGAGGCAGCTCTCTCAGTACCTAACTATTTTATCTTGAGTTCTTTCAGAGGTATGGCTCAGAGTTGACCCTAGCAGTGGATGCACACAAAAATACCAAATCTTCGGTCCCCATATTTCCCAACTTGCCCTTCTGCAGTTTAGTCTCCACTCAACAGCAGGAGAGATCTTTTAGATATATGAATGAGGTCATACGGTCTTGTGCTTAAAACACTCACTGCACTTAAAGTGCAGATTCCTTTCTGTGGCTTAAAATACTCCACATGGTCTTATGCCTGCTTACTTTGCTCTTTGTTCACTGTAATCCAGCCACTCTGGCCTTCTTTCTCTTCCCCCAACACACCAAACATGTTCATTTTTCAGGACTGTAGGACATGTGGTTCCCTTTGTACCTTTGCTTGCAACACCCAGAAATTTACTTGGCTGGCTTCTTGCCATTTGGAACTCTCTCCAAGATCACTTTCTCAGAGAAGTCTCCTCTGATTAACTCACCAAAAGTAGCTTTACAAACTTTGCCTCTAGTTTATTTTCTTTTTTAACATCTGTCTGATTTTTCTTTAAGCTCC